CTCTCCTCTCCTCTCCTCTCCTCTCCTCTCCTCTCCTCTGTCTCTTCTTCTCATCCTCTTTATTCCACCTTTATTCCACTAAAAGTGGAAGGATATTTCATAGGCAAGAACAGAAGAACTATTCCCACCCCAACCCTCCCTGCAAGCTCCAGGGATATATGTGAAGCACCATTAAAGGAAGTGATCCTTGATGGACCAACATTATAATGACAGCTTCTTGCTTTGAGCAACGTACAGTCCTGTACTCCTTAAAAATAGAATAGGAGCAAAAATGCATTCTGTCATATATTTAGGAGAGGTGACAAGTCCTCTATTCAAGCTTGCTCAGATTTGGTTGTGCTGGCTTGGGCTGTACCAAGTTGCCTGAAGGTGTCTGAGGGTACCAAGCTGGGTTGGACTGATTTAACTGCCTCTCCTTCTTCCCTGCAGGAGACCTCAGATGCCCATCCCTTCCAGCGAACCAGGTGAGTAAACCTGCCCCCCTTGGGGATGAATCCTTTCTGCCCCACACATTGGTCTTCCATTGCTTTGCGAGTTGGGGCCAATTGATGGGTGACATGGAAAGCGAAGTCCAGCCCTGTTGAAATGCAAAGGGAGTGGGGAGAGGGTAATTCGTATTTAATCATAATTAAGCAGAGACGTAATTCCCCCCTCCTGCCGATGCTTTCCCCCAACATCTCCAGCACATTATGGAAAACAGGTGCCTGGGAGTTTTCCATAATGGGGACAAACAGCGGCTTAAAAGTGTGTGGGGGGGTTAAGTTGGGAAAATAGCATCCTTAAGTGATAATGCTTAGTCCCCCACCTTGATCTGAACACCCCCCAGCTACTTGTGATAAACATTTTGCGAATCTCCTGATCTGAATTAGCAGACTCTTACACCAGCACCTGATATTTCCTAGATAATAGCTTTGGCTCCCATCCAGGAGGCTGGTTAATCACGCAGGTTTGGCCTTTTTAAACTTGGCCCCAGACATTTTTCCTGTGGATTGATTGCCATCTCTGTTTTATAGGGGATCCTGACTATTCTACTGCGGACGGGTACAGTTTAATCCAGCATCACTAGCCCCAAGATGGTAAGTTGGTTCATTCAGAAAAGGGACTTGTTCAAGATTGGGGGCTTAATGCACTGACCTAGTTAAGCATGTTTAGACAACATCCTAGACCAGTGTTTTTCAATCTTGGCAACTTTTAGATGTGTGGACCAACTCCCAGAATTCCCCAGCCAGCCAGGCTGGCTGGGGAATTCTGGGAGTTGAAGTCCACACATCTAAAAGTTGCCAAGATTGAAAAATATTGTCCTAAGCCATGGTTTAGCTGACAGTTATGGTTTGGCTATTCATAAGAATGAATAATTGCTGATTGTAACTAGACCCTCAATCATAAACCATAGCTTACAAAGAGAATGGCTAGATTAACACAGCAAGCTTAGTTATAAACTAACATACTGTGTTAGCCCCCATAATAAAGTTTGCTTGATTTGGGCTTAGCATATTGTGAGAATTCAACTATTGTAATTTGTAAACCCTGGATCTTGGTTTACCACAGTGTGGAAAGCCTGCCAGTTGTGTTTTATTCAGTAAGCCATGGTTAAACCAGTCACGACTTAGGCAATATATGGACCCATTTGCATTTTCCTCATGTTTATCTTTTTCTCCCCTGTAGATCTTGGAGTCTTTCATTCGACTATACCTCTATGAGGAAATGAAATAGCAGCATTTTAGAAGCTGTCTCAAACTACTTCCCCAAATGACTGGAGTTCTGCTCTTTTTCAGTGCATTAATTATTCTTTAAAAAAAACAAACCAGAAGAGATCCTTTTTGCAAGATGGAGGAAAGTACTGAAAGAATGCTGATTTTCTGGCAAATAACATCAAAGCTCTGATTTTTTTCATTTGGAGGAAGGGATAAAATCCCTTAAAGCAGGGGTGTTGGCAGGGTGTGGTCCAAAAAGTCAAGATGGTGGCCATAGTAGCAGGTGCATCATTATGCCCACCATCTTGACTTTTTTGACCATGCCCTTGGACCCCTGCCTTCTTTTGTTTGTGAGGTGGGGGGGGGATCACATCTAAAGAATTAAACTTATATGTGAGTTGCCTTGAAACTGGGTGTCTTGAGGAATATTGCAGTTGTACCTGACCTACCTCACAGGGTTGTTGTGAGGATGAAACAAGACAATCTCATTATATTGGCCTTAATTCTTAGATCTTTCTTAATTCTCTTGGAGACCAGTGGGAAAGCTTATGGGGTTCCGACTACCTTTCTTGAGTCTTGGCCAAAATTCTGTAAAGTCTAGAGCAGAAGGATTCTTCCTGATTTAAAACAACAGCAATAAGAATTAAATACTTATTTGTCTGCAAATCACTCAGGATCAGTGTGTGGGAGTGCTGGAACAGGTTAATTCTTCTCCGGGACTTTGGATTCTGATGGTGCAGAGTTAGCTGCCTGCGAAACTCTCCTTTTAGTCGAAAGCAAGTCTCTAGTCCTCATGATTATGAGAGACAGAAACCAAGAGTGGTTGCTCTCTGCTCGTGGAAGCTTCTGGAATCCAAAGGAGGTCCCTGTGGGATTTCTCTCTGCTCTTTTTTGGCCATCCGTACGTTTAATCCTTCCCTTTTTCTACTGTGCGATTCTATTCTGGGAAGAGAAGCTCTAAGAATTATTTTAGGAGAGAAAAAATAAGCAATTAATGTGAAACCGTGTCATTGATGTGACAACTGCTTTATTGGGTGCTAATTGGCTTTTTTGATTTAGGAGGCCTTTTCCAGTTGCACAGGGCTCCCCCCCCCCCAGCTGTTGGCTTTGAATTCAGTGCATGGGAAAAAAGAACAGGGTCCGATGGCCCTGAGGGACAGTGAGAGTTTACTGGAGACGGCTGAAAGGAAATCAGACGTGCATTCCTGTTGCAGGGCCATTCCACCTTGGACCGAAGCACAGCAAAACGTGCCTTGGCAACCTTTTTTTCCCCACAGAAGCGTAGAGTTGGAGGGTACACAAGAGGTCATCAAGTCCAACCCCCTGCACGATTCACTACACCATCCCCGATAGGTGACCATGCAGCTTCTGTTTGAAAACCTCCAGGGAAGGGGAAGAAGCCACCTCATGCAGTTCCACTGATCGATGGCTCTTGTGGTCAAGAAGGTCTTCCTAATGCCTAATCCGTATCTACCTCTCTGAAGTTTCATCCCATGAGTTCTAGTCTTACCCTCTGGAGGAAGTGAGAACAAGTCTGAGCCTCTACAAGGCGACAGCTCTTCAGCTATATGAAGACAGCTACCATGTCCCCTTTCAGCCTTCTCTTCTGCAAGCTGAACATTTCTAGGTCTTTTCACTGTTCCTTGTAGGACTTGGTTTCCAGTCCTTGCACCATCTTGGTAGCCCTTCTCTGGACTTGCCCCAGTTGATCAATGTCCTTTTTAAACCGAAGTGTCCTCCATGTCCCCCTCACTTTGCTTTCATCACATTGCCGACCTGTGTCCGTGACAGCTTCATGTGGTCCTAAACTGCCCTGCTGTTAAGAGTGTTTGCTGCTTTAATCTGGCAACAAACTGCAGGAGTTTGGTTTGGAGGTGGCCTGATGTTCTTCACCCATGAGTGGGTGGTGGTTGGTCAGGCGAGCCCTTGGAGATGGGCACATGTTAAGCTTGGCACCAGTTGGGCATTTTAGGCTGGTGAGGGCATGCATGCCCCTGGATCCTATCTTCAAGGGTCATTCTGCTTTGAGAGCAGGAGAATCTGGTTCTTCTAAACTGGGCACTCCTTCTGAACTGGCCAGGTCTCCAAGCTCGTCCTGGCCCGGGGACTGATCGGTGGGGCTGGGGTGGGGCTGCATGGTGAAGCTGAGGGGAGAGAAGCATCTCTCTGCTACTTTCTAGCCAACCCTCACAACATTGTTCAGGTTATTTCTGAACACGGGTTTCATGCTTTCCTGGAGTAGCGCTAACCCTGTGTCCAAAAGAGCCCTGACAGTCAGTTCTGACTTGGAACAAGGATGACTATTCACTACAGTTGGGCTGTTTACCGGGGTTTACTACTATTCTGAAACAGGATTATTCCAGAGTAGCTTTATTCTGCAACACTGCTGTTGCAGAATAGCAATAATCCCTGTCCAAAGAGGATTTGATATATTTATTGATTGATTGTTAATCAAATGTATCTCCCACAGCATTAGGACAGACTCTCAGCACTCAGTACAGAGATAAGCAAACATAAGAACTATACATGCGAACACCTTATCGATAGCATCTGATGAAAATAAAAGTTTTAAATGGAGATGCTGTCGTATCTTATCAACCCCTGCCCCCCGCAAATAATACATGGCCTCACGCCCCAAAAGCCCCCTAGAAGAGCTTTGTTTCCAGCTTTTTCAGGAGACAGTTAATGTTGAGACAGGAGGCCATCCTAGAGGGCCAGCCCCATCGCCGTAAAACAATGCTCCTGGGCTTCAGCTCCCCGGTGTCCCAAAAATGGGGGAGAATCAGCTGCTTAGGACCAACTCTAGTTTTTTTTTAAATTTTGAATGCACCAAAATACCTTTTGACAGAGATCTAAACCTGGCTGTCTAGCTGTTAAAACTTGCCTCCTTCCTCATCCGCATGACATGTTGAGGAGAAGGCTAATTTTCCCAGTGTGGCAGGGAGGGAGGGCTGCATTGACACAGTTGAAATGGAATCCAGATCAAACTAGAACCACACAATACACACAGGGAGAATGAGAACAGACGAATGGTTTACATTACATGAATCGTGGGAACAACTCTAGAGCAGTGTTTCTCAACCCTGGCAACTTGAAGATGGATGGACTTCAACTCCCAGGGATCCCCGCTATGCTTGCTGGGGAATTCTGGAAGTTGAAGTCCACCCATCTACAAGCTGCCATGGTTGAGAAACGCTGCTCTGCACCAAAAATAAGTCCATTCTTTGCTGGCATCATCCCTATGATGGACAGGATTGCCAGTGGGGAGAGTGACTGGCGGCATTGTGCTGCATAATTTTTTGTGAAGGCCTGAAGGTCAAAGGAGTTCCAGGTAGCTCACTTCGCTTGCCAGGAGGAAGAGCCCTCGGCGTTCTGCAGGAATCCAGCTCTCAGATCAAAGCTGCTGAGTGGCGCATGGACCCAGACGGCTGCGTTGACACCGTTGAAGTGGAATCCAGATCAAACCAGAACCACACAATAGACAGAGAGAGAGAAGGAGAATAGACTAATGGTTTACATTACATGAATAGTGGGAACAACAGGAGCCAAACCTTGAAATATTCTTTTCATTTATGGAACTAGCGCCTATAGAATGATGCTCTTGATTATTTTAAGACGCTGCTGAACTTTGCTATGCCTTGATTAGTTTTAACTACGTTTGTTTAATGCACTGGTGGTTAACACACAACAGTAAGGCTAAACTAAGCTTTATCCTGGCTTAGTGGACTCCAGCCAGTGGGTTTAATGGGGATTGGGGGGTGTTTTCCCTAAATGAGTTCCCTCCAGATGCGTTGGGTTATTGGTTGGGAATTTGGGGAGTTATGGTCCAAGAAAGCAGGCGAGCTCTAGGGTCAGGGAGACTAGAACCGCACGTTAAGTATTTGCACAGGCAGTGCCCAAAACCGAATGCAGCTTTGGAATACAAAACAGAAACACTTGCTTTAAAAGCTAAAGACGCAACTGCTTTGCCCTTCCCACCCCAAACCGCTAGGGGTCGCTCTTCCAAATTGCGATGTTATGACTCCACGGGACTCGCTTCCTCGTCCTCCTCGATGGTGGTTGGTGGAGAAGAAAGACGATAGACTTAAAACGTGTAGAGTGACAACTCGGTGCTTGCTCACGATTGAGAAATGGATGGATCCGGGAGCTCCCCGAAAGAGAAGCAGTTATTCATATTCATGAATATTACTAAAATCTCAAAACTAACGCAAACACCGTTGTTTGGTTGCTTCTTCACCCTTGCATACAGCCACGGAGGGGACAGCCCATCGTCTCCATTCTCGGAAAGTCAAGGGTGGGCCCATGGATGAAAGAAGCCCACTCGCCTTCAGGTCGACTTCCGGGGGCTTTGGGGACAAATTCAGGGAGTTTCCTCAGAAACAGAACGGAAGCAGTTTTCCATGTCTTCCCCTGGGATGTTTTCAGATTTCCCAGCCTGGCCCTGGGATCTCCTGGTGGTCTCCCATCCAGGCAGCCTCTGCCCTGCTTTGCGGTTTCTATTGGCGGAAGCCTCCCCTGCAGAGGGTGCACTTAAAACAGGGGATTTCCTGGGGTGTTCTTAGCAGGATTTCCCCGTCTCAGAGCCTGGAAGAGGTGTGGACTTCGACTTCCAGAATTCCCCAGCAGTCGAAGTCCACACCTCTTCCAGGCTCTGAGACAGAGAAATCCTGCT